TTAGTTACGATTTGGCATTCGTGTATACGAAATAGTATGTCGATTTTCAACAACTGAATCATATGCACTTCATCGTCACCTTCTTAAACTCAAATTGTAGCATAATTAATAAATTAAATTGAACTTCGCCAACAAAAAATAAAACCCAAAAAGCAATTCAACATTTTAAAAGGCTTCTTTCGACAAGTAAATTAAGTTCCTCAGAGAACAGAAGAAAATCAGTATGAAAGTCAGACCGGTGGTAAGAGCGATCTAAAGCCAACAAGGCTCCTTGCTTTAAAAGGCTGGAAGAAACGTCCAACGTACACAGCCTTACCATATCTCATCTTTCAGAGAGGTTTGATAGAACATTTTTGGGTAGATCCATACCCCTTTGAATTGCCGGCTTTCAAGTTCTTGAACACGATTACTGGAAATAGTCTCATTGAAAACAAACTCGGGAAGGCCATCATACTGCTTTAGTGTCCCACACGTAGATATCGAGGCATCATCTGCCAACCCCAGCTTCTTCTTCATGTCCTTCGTCTGAAAATAACTGTCCTCGGTATAAAAATAATCCCGCGATGGCCTGCATTCAGTCTCTTCATTGCTAACTTCAACTAAATAATCACGATTCCAGCTCAAGTCTTTAGCAAACGTGATATAACCACTCTTGCTGTCTAGAAAGTAGAATTCTCCGTTGCGATAAGCAGCGCATTTGATTGTATCAATGGGACGATCATACTTGTGTTGTGTCCATTCATTGGCTCCACGGTGAAGCACATTCAGCTCAAATTCTCCATCACTCTTCCGGTTCATGACGCAAACCATGCAATCTTGGGAAGTTGGGGGAGACGAAAATGCAGCAACATGATCAGAGAGCTCTGAGGCTGGGAATTTCGGGAGGTCTATTTTCATTGGAACGAAGGGGCGAAAAAAGAACATTGAACCTCCTGGTTGGAACAAAAGAAGCCATCCTTGGTTCGAGGCAAGGCAACTTGTCGTTCCATCAAGTTGCGGAAGACATATCGGGTACTTTTCTCCACTTTTTTTTACCAATAACTGGCTTTGAAGATCAGAATCTTTGTTAAGCTCATTGTCCGTGATCCCATAGAGTAGAAACCAGGGTTTAATATCCGGTGCAGGTTCGACTTTGGCAACAGCTGTGTAAGAAGCTGAATTCCAAGCCTTGCAGACAGTGCGAAAACTTTGAAGCTCGTCGGTGCCTAGACGGTCTGCTATGTCCGAGACAAGTTCAGGGGGGAGATAGGACCATTGGCTTTCGTACCTTTTGGCACAGTTGCTCATTGCATATGTATGGCTGCTACTGTCAAGGGCCCCAACTACTTGTGTTAAATTTAAGGAACATGGCAAAAGACAGACCAAACACAACAAGGAGCATGTGAAAAAGAATTACACAGATTAAAGCGAAGAAGGCACATTCTTTATCTGTAAGTATTCGTAATTAATTGGTTTTTGGATTAATCATTCATAGCATATACCTAATTTCACCAAGAAAAAACACGTAAAACATAAAAGACATCATCAAAATTCAAGAATTTCAAGAGTTTCGTTGAACCCGAATTATTGTAATAGTACGTGGTGTTCAATTTCTCTCAATTCAAAGATGGGAAATAATTTCTGCACACCCGAAATATACCCTTATATCTACTCTCCTTGTTTCTGTCCATAGATTCTGGATTGATTTTATCTATCCAAAGACAAGAGAGAAAAGGGACCATGCGGAAAAGATAGACGTGTGTAAATCATAATTAATAGCGATCGAACAATGTATAACAATATTCATACCTCTGGGATTTAGGATGAAGAAGCCCTTGCAGAAAAAGAACAACGTCAATCGAAGGGTTGTTACTGGCACAAGAGTATTGCTATACCATTTTATAACTACAACTCGAGAGTTCTAATTTCAGTAGTTCACTGCAACTTTTCATTTCCTTCTTGAACTGTAAAAGTAAATAATTAAATAACTAATATAGCTTGCTTAAATGGATAAATTGACAATTAGAGTTGAACCCAAATTTATAAACATATTTTAGGAATAACTCACTGACGTAGGATTAAAGAAATTGCTTTGAAATATGATGCGTGCAGATCAGAGGCGTTCGGAGTTGTTTAGAGTTCAAAACAACGTTTTTATTAGTTTTAGGGTTGTTTTGTTAATTCCTACATTGTTTCGCATTTATTTCCTTCGAATTTAATTAGAAGTTTTCTCCTGCAAAGGCTTATGGCTTTCATCCTTCTCCTCCTCCATCTCTATCCACTAATCTGTCATGGAGTTAGTCAATCTTTGAATTCGTAGCATATGTATTATAATATGAATTCACGACATTATTGATATGTCATGGACTTCTGATGTAGAACCGCAAGTCACAATGTGACAGTCGCGATGAAATTACTCGTTAAAAGGGGGCAGATTTAATTGGTGAGGTTAAGTTGTCAAAGCACCCAACTTTGTCTTTGAAACTACTAACACTTTCTGGTAAACTGAAGCACAATAATGGTAAGAACAATGGTGAGAAGCTAGCATTCGATTCCATGATCGATGGATGAAGCACTGATCAAATTTTTACCAAGCCAGATCTTTTGGAGAGGTTTGGTAGAGTCTAGGGTAGATCCATATACCCCTTTGAAGTCACATTTTGTCCATTCTTCCGCATCATCATAGCTCGAAAAATAATTCGTCTCGTTATAAACAACACTCTCCGTGCCATTGAGTGCTTATTTTGATGAGGAAGAATGTTAAACAGTACTAAAAGAAGTAAAGTGTGGCTGGCAATGGCTACAATTATTGTGGCAAAAGTAGCAAAACCAAGTTCACCAACAAAAAATTAAGCAAAACCCAAAAACCAATATCTGAATCGATTTGATCTAGTAATTGATAAATATTACCAAGTCTGATCACTTGGAGAGGTTTGGTAGAACTTTGGGTAGATCCATACCCCGTTGAACTGACGGGTCTTCGACTCTCAATCACGTTTACGATCACTAAGGGTCTCCCTGTGGACAAAATTGTTCATGCCATCTGACTGCCTCTGAGTCACGCAAGTAGAAAATGAAACATCCTCATCTTCTGCAAACCCTAGCTTCTTCTTCATGTCATTTTTTTTGAAATAGTTCTTGTCCGGCAAAAAAATTTCCGACTTGGGTTTCGTAGGCTTTGCAGGAACAGATTTTGCATAGCGACAAGATTCGGGGTCTACCCCAATTTTACAAGCATCAACAATGAGCAGCCCCGTCTGTATGGTTGATGAAATAGAATTTTTGTTAGTGAGTCTGGTAAGCTGCACATTTTAGTGTACCTATTCCTGAACATATGAAGCTGTACTCGATCCACTCTCTGGCTCCGCGGCTAAGTACGTTCAGCTTCAGTAAATTGTTATCGACATGGTTCATGACACAAACAGTACAATCTTGGCCAACTGGGGGACATGAAAATGCGGCAACATGATCAGAGAGTTTCGAGATATGAGGGCTTTTCAGAAGGTTTATTTTTGTTCTTGAGAAGGGCCGAAAGAAGAACATTGAAGAACCTTGTTTGAATACTAAAAGCCATCCTTGGTTCCATGCCAGGCAAGTTGCTCCATCCAGTTCTGGAAGCCTCATGGTGAATTTTTGACAGGTTTCGGTTACCGATTGGCATTTGCCGAAAGATTTTTTATGATCCTCTTCCTCCCCGTATAATAGAAACCAGGGTTTAAAGTCTGGTTTAGATTCAATCTGAACTGAAGCTGTGAAAGAAGCAGAATTTCAATCCCTTGCAGACACCGCGGAATTTCAAAAGCTCGATCGGGTCTAGACGCTCTGCTATGTTTGACACGAGTTCGGGAGGAAGATCGGACCATTGCGAACTTTGCATAATTTGCATTTGCTTTGACATTTTTCCAAAGAACTAGCAAATATGTTTGCCTAGTAGAAGCTACATAAACAATAAATCAAGGCTAAATTGGCTAATCAACAAACAACATGCATAAACTCTATATGTTACTCTAGAACCTGTAGAAATACATATATATATTTCTATAGTAAAGAACCTGTAGAAATACATGAAAAATGTAGAAATACATGAACGTGTGTGTGTGCATATACGTACGTATATATATATGTGTGTGTGTGTGTGTGTGTGTATATTCACAAAGAACCTGTAGAAATACATGAAAAATGTAGATGAAGTTAAAAAGGATAAACTCAAGAAAGTATCCCAGTATGGCAAGAACTCTTGGCTGGCGGGGGTATATTTGTCCTTTTGATTCAGCCAAAAAGACATTAAAAAAGGAACAAAAGGGGCATTCCGAGAATTGAACTCGGGACCTCTCGCACCCTAAGCGAGAATCATACCACTAGACCAAATGCCCACTCGCTATTGTCTGTCAATTTAACCTTTTTGACCAAACCTATAGATATTTCCCTCCAACACCGTTTCCTAAAATCTACCACTCAGGCGAACATACCACTAATGGTGCCTTTGTCTCAGGAATGAGATCCATTTCGAATTTTTTTGTTGAAGTTGGCAGACTAAAAGATTAGGATTGTCCAAATAGGAGAGAAAAAAGATATAGGGTGTCAAGTTTATGGATTTTTACGAAGAGAGTAAGTGAGATTGACTAATAGCAACCATAGGATTGACATCGAATTGTCCGAATCCTTTGGTCATGGCTTCGTACATAGAAGTTCACAGTGAATCTCTATTAGTTGTCTCATTCACTCGAGTTTGAAGTAAACGTTCTTTTTATTGTGGATTGAAATAAATTTTTGTATAAAAATCAAAATTAAGCATTATCAGTTGTCATTACGTATCAAAATTCGCTATACATAAAAGCCAAACTTGAAACTTCTTATCAAAATTTCGTAAATTAATTGCTAGATTAGAATAATTTAAAACATCACACTTTAATCTAACAATTTTTGTTTTTGAATAAATTTTTAATGTGTCGGAAATACATTCTTAATGTAATATAATAACACAACTTTTATTCCTGTTTTGAGTTTTCCCTCCAATTAAAACCTTCTGGATTCCAACCACATTAGGGTTTTTGATTTGACCAAAAAGAAATAACATTTTCCATTTCATTTTCTCTGCTACAACAGCCATCTCAGTAATGAAAGAGTGATTTGTTCTCTCCTTCTCAGAGTCTACAACCCCTCTTGGGCTATGGCTGTTTCTCACACCGAGACCCAGAGTTTGGATTTTCTGTCTCACCGATCAGGTAATCACTGCTCATCTTCATGTCAATTTCTTCACTTTTCATCTGTTTTTTGATTCATTTCTTGCAAACCCATCTGTAATTATTGTTAATCAGAGTTTATAAATTGTTGATTAGAGTTTCTGTTGGGTTCTGATTAGGATATGAACTCAAAGGTGTTGATGAAGTTGATGAAGTTGATGAACATCAGCAGCAGCTACAATTTCAGGACACTGTGCCGCTTGAAGATGCTTTTGTGCCTGACAGCCCTTCAATGCAGGAAACCCAGTTGGTCGATTTTTTGGATTTTTCCAAAAAGACTAGGACTGGTGTACATGAGTACGAGGAAGAAGTTGTGCTAGACAGCGAGGACGATGAAGTGAATGGAAGCAGAATAGTGAGTGTTAAATCCAATGTGTTGTTGGATCAAAAGCTCGGTCCTCATCGCGAGCAATTCGCTGCAGGTTAGCTTTCGGAGTGTTCTTTTCTTCTTTTTCTGTGTTGTATTTTTGTTCATGTTTTATGTGGAATGTGTGATTAATGAATCTGTGAGGAAGTGCTTTTGAGAAAGCACTTTTGTTGGAATACTTTGTGTAATTGTATTTTATGTGGATTGCGTGCTTAATGAATACGTAAGGACGTGATGTTATGTGGAACGTGTGTTTGATGTATCTTTGAAGAATTGATTCTAAGAAAAAAGCACTTTTCTTTGAATACTTTGTGTGTGTATTTTATGTGGAATGTGTGAGAAAGTGATTTTATGTCGAATGTCTGTTTAATAAATCTGTAAGGAAGTGATATTGAGAAAAGCACTTTTCTTTGAATGCCTTGAAGGACAAGTTTCTCCAATTAATTATGGTACGACTGAAGGGGAGAAGAATGAAGGATCTCTGTCGCTTGCGAGGTTAAATTATATTGACTCTCAGGAACCTGGGGAGTCAGCCCAAGCCAATGCACTTGGTTTTGTGGACCTTTTTGTGTCATTGAACGACGTTTTGGGTGGCTCTCCGGAAATTGATGATCACAAGAAACCGGTTAGGGAGAAATCCCCTCCTGTCTCAAACACAAAGGGGTTTCAAAGGTTGGCTAGGATGAAGTCTCAAGTTGAAATTGAAAAGGCCTTTGAATGGGTTGATCTTCCTGAGGAGCATTGGGGAGTTGATCTCATTAACAAGAAGATCAATTCGTCTTCTGATTTTCGAGAGTGCAAGCAGAGATCCGTTGTACAGAATCAGAAAGTCAGGCATGGTGGTGGTAACAAAAAATGTATCAGCTTGGGCGGTAAGAGCAAAGAGAAGAAAATAATTCAGGGCCTCCATAAGGAAATGACAGAATTGGAAGGGATGATTGGAAATGAATCTGACAATAAGTCGGAACAACATTTGGATGCGAAATCAACAGGACTGCAGAAGGAAGCTAGTGACGCAAGAACAGATATGGTTGACATGTTTGATGTTGGCTTTAACACTCAAATTGCTGCTGAAGCTATGGAGGCCTTAGCTTATGGGGACCTTCCCGACTGCAATTTTGCTGATGCTTATCAAGGTATGGAGAACACAGCAGATGTTTCACGAGGTGCTCCAGAGAACAAAGCACTTTTGGAACTTCCTCTTCGAAAGAGTGATGTTCCTGATATAGGAGGCATTAACGAAAATGCAAAGCGAAGAAAGCGTTCAACTAGAACAGTAAGGAGAGTAGCTGCTTCATATCAAAAGCAATCTTCGAGTTGGGAGTTAGATCCTCATTTGGCAGCACAAACAAAAGGGAAAAGAAGCAGATTCTTTTCTGAACATTGTAGTAATTTTGCTGACGCCAATGGAAATTTTTGTAGACAATCTCCTAAGCGTACCAAGCATCGAAAGGTAGAGAGAGCTTCTGGAGGTAGGTCAGTAGGGACTGGGGATGAACCTAAGAATCCAGGAGAAAGGGTGAATGATGTTACAGGGAACGGTATTATTAAATACAGAAGAAAGAAGAGACGTTTAAATGCTCATCCATCTGAAATAATCAGTGGGAGTGAGGGCGGATTTAACAAGCGAGTAGAAAGCATGAATAAAGTTACGAAGGCGGATATTATTACATACAAGAGAAAGAAGAGTATCAGCCCTAAAGAAAACTCTTCCAAATCTTATGTTTCGTCTGAGCGAGATAAAAACAGAACAACCAGTACTTTGAACTTAGAACCATGGAGCCATCCGAAAGGGAAAAGAACACGTCTCAATGCCCGAAGAAATTCTTGCCTAGCTACTTTACTCTGCACTTCATTTCCAATAGTTGATGGAAAGGACAGCACTTCCCGTTTTGCTGAAAGGCCAGAAAGCAACAACAATATAAAGGGAAAGATACACTCATTGGATAAAGATTCTGGCAGATCCTTGCTAGTGTTACAATCCGGGAAGCTAGATGCCAGAGATCCTACATCACTGGTAGACGTAAAAAGCCATACCTCAGTAGTGTCATCTGGTTCAGAATATGCTGCTCAATCTAACTCTACCACTGGCATAAACGTGGGATCATCCAAACATGTGTCTGATGGTCATCACAGAAAGACATACAACAAAAACTTGCCCAAATCGTCCCTTTTGAAAGAGCTTTTTGGACTGGGTGTCCCTGAATCAACACCAGATTATGCATGGAAAGACTTAAGAAGGCGAAGAAACATGGCATATGTTCGTGTTCTGTTTAGCCAGCACTTGGATGATGCTACCATTAAGCAACAGAAAAAGGTAGATACTGAGTTTGTATGATTTTGAGACAGCTAGATGATCCACATCTAACGTTACCTCTTTTTTCATAATAGGTCATCACACGACTGGGCCTATCTGTTGCATCATGTTCTACTGATGCAACACACTTTGTAGCAGATCAATTTGCACGTACAAGGAACATGTTGGAATTCATTGCTCTTGGTAAACCAGTGGTAACTCATTTGTGGCTTGAGAGTTGCGGGCAAGCAAACTGTTTGATTAGTGAGAAAAGCTACATTCTGAGGGATGCCAAAAAGGAAAAGGAAATAGGCTTTAGCATGCTTGTTTCACTGGATTGTGCGAAACGGTGTCCACTTCTAAAGGTAATGCATGCGCTTTTGTTTATTTAAACTGATAACTGTTTTTCTTTCATCCATGTTATTGGGGTGTTCCTATATGATTGTGCTTAAGTAGCAGGGTCGAAAAGTCTTCATCACGCCAAACATAAAACCCGATAAAGAAATGATGATTAGCTTGGTGAAGGCAGTTCAAGGCCAGGTATCTGCATTGTCGTTACATACATAGTTTAATAGTTAGTATCCCTGGAGTGAACTTTTAATAATACAAGATGTTCCTCAGCCAGTGGAGAAGGTTCAGATGTCTGCAGCAAAGGATAAAAAGAATTTCAAGGACGTTTTGATTCTTTCTTGTGAAGAAGACCGTGCGGTCTGCCTGCCTTTTCTTGAGCAAGGTACTAGCATTCCATTCATTTATCCGTCTTGCTTAGTAACTTAAGACTCTTTGTATCTATCATGCCTCGCAGGGGCAGCAGTTTACACTTCAGAACTTCTGCTAAATGGTATAGTTATCCAGAGACTGGAATACAAGAGGTGAGTAATAGTAAAACATGAATGTAATATTCATGGTTTGAAGTTAATTAATTTCGAAGATTATTGTTTAGCAGATTGTAATTAACTTGTAATTATGATTATGCGATGCATAATTTGTGGGAATTAGTCATGACAAGTTCTTATTTCTCAAATACTTTGCTTCGCAGACATCGGCTCTTCACAACTGCTTTCAAGAGTTGTCCACCGGCCGTAGGCCCTTCCGTGTAATGAAGAAAACTCTATAAAGTCATGTAATTATCGCTGTTTTCGCAGTTTTTGTTCAGAACTTTTCCAGATTATGAATCCCTTCGGGATTGTAGTGAAGCCGCTGAATCGTGCCGGCTCTGGTTTAAACTGGTGTACATTTTGGAACATTTCTTGGATTTCAGTGGCATTTTGAATGGTAGCTTGTGATTATTCTCTAGTTCCTTGGTAATCCTTGTTTTGAACAGAATTTAGGCCTGGAATTGCTGCTTTTATCGGCGTTGTTCTCTTATATAAACGATTCAATGTGGTAAAAGAATGTTCAAATGCCAACATCATACGATCTTAAAATAACACGGGTAAGAACCACACGTTTTAAGTCGGTCTCAGACCGCACATTTTCGACAAATTGCTCTTATAAATACAAGAAGTCCAAATAAGATGTGCAACTTTAAATAGAGGATACAATCATACTCTCCACTTTTCTCAGCTCCTGGTTTGCATCACATGATGAAAGTCCCATTAGACCGAACTATGGCAGAAGACTTCTACGACGAAGGTGCTGCAAACGAGTCATTTTCCGGGTTTAGTAATGATAAAAACTTTCTTTTGTGCTACAATTACAATCGGTTTATCCCGTCTATAGGCTTCTTTTAGTACTTGTGCAAGCATAAGAACCATAGGTCCACAGAGGGAGAAATAATAATTTCTAAGCCGAATTCTTGCCAATACGCATATACTCGCATAATTTTGAATCGCATTTTTGTTAAAACATGATGTACACAACATGAACTTCATAAACTAGATAGTAATAATTAAAATCCTAACATATTGACGAAAGATGTTTTAAAGTATAGAAATACCACATACCAATTTGACACATTACTGACTAGAATCAGGAGGTTGAGTATTCGGATTGAAACTTTCATAGCCTCCACTCGTTGGTGCTGTTGGATTGGGTTGATACATCGGGGGTGCAGCCATAGGAGGGGCACCATTAGAAGCATTTGGTGCTGCGCTGCCAGGAACTGCTGGTGGAGGATTTAAAGCAGGAGGAGGCCTCATGGGAGCATTTAATTGACCAGGCATGCTGGGAGCACCAGGTGGAGCCATCATTGGGATCATGTGTGGAGCAGTGCCGTAACCTGCCACCACCAAGAAATTTTTTTTATATATCATTAGTATTAGATAGTAAGATTCTGCTGCCAATGATATATTGCTGTGTGTCTGACTGGAAAATAATAATCAATACAATACAGCAGCTATTGGACCTAGAATATAGCTGCATAATGGGGTAACACAATATCACTAACGTCCATAGCCATGGTAAAAAAGGGATGCCAATTGATCGCATAGGAAAAGATCGAAAAAAGATCACATTATGCAGAAGACTAAAGGACAATACTTAACCAAGCAAAAAATACGCATTCTGTTTTCCCTGCCTTCTAGTAACAGTAGTTTCGTAAAAAGTAGGTAGCATTATTAGCAAAACATCAAGTTGATAGGAACAGAATTACATATACCACACACCCCGAAAGAAAAATTCCAGAACAATAACGCAAACATCGTTTTGGTCAAGCAGCCAAAAACTCTATACATCAAAATGCAAAATACGTGCACTAATAAATCACAGAAACAGCCATCCATTTTCGAGTCACCAAGTCCACCTACAAGGAGATTATTGAGAAAAACCAAAAAAGGCTTGCTGCTTGGAAAGCCGAATCTTTATCTTTGGATGGGAGAGCTACTCTGATTCAATCAGTGACATCTTCCATTCCTATATATACTATGCAGTCAGTAAAGCTACCTATGTGTTTGTAAGCGGTTGGAATAGCGTCAGTTTAACGCAACAGAGCTCAGTTCGGTTCAGTCTTTGGTTGAAAATAAAGATTTTACTGTAAACATTCCAGATTACCTGGAGCACTGAGTACAGGAGGTCTTGGCAAAACAGGAGGCCTAATCCCTGGAGCCATCATTTGTGGCATGCCAGGAAGACGGGGCTGAGACATTAGATGTTGATTGTAAGCTGCACCAATATTCCCGTAAGGCTGACCACCATAAGCTGCAGAATTGCCAAGGTGCTCTTTGATCCGTTGGTCAATCAAACTTTGGGTTTGTTCCTGCTCAAATTGCTGATAGTACTCCCGCACGTTCGCCTAAATCCACACACAAAATCAGTAAAAGGCAACGCCAAAAAGAAACGGTAACTCACGCTAACAACACAAAATAAGCCAGTAATACCTTGTGTTTATAACCAGCATTGTGTTGCTTTCTCACTGAAGGCTGAAAAAATGGGAAAAACAAAAACTTGTCAGCAACCAAGATGATCACGATTTCACTAATTTACCGTGGCAAGTTTAACCCGATATAAACATCCCATTTCTTTTTTCTTCTCAATGTGATTAACTCTTGAAATTAATCAAAAAAATTATCAAGCAAAATCGAAATCTCAAACAGATATAAGGAAATAATCGAAAATACGATCCGAAAACTAAAAAAATTAGGGCAGAGAGAGTTTACCGAATCGTGGGTCAAATAAGTATCGCAGTAATCACAGTAATACCTGATAAATTGGAACAAGAAATCGATTAAAGATTAAAAATTTCATGAAATTGGGATACGAATCGCATAAGTGTAATATTGAATGAACGAGAAAGAGATGATACCTTGGCATTGCTCTGAATCGCTGGAATTAGGGATTTACTGAAACTGGAGTAATGCAAAAACCCTAGGGGACTTGAAGAAAGAAGAAGGTTCTGGCTACCCGCCAGTGCACCTGAGAAAGTAATGAATTGAAGGTTCTGGACTTGGTGGGCTTTTGGGCCTAACTTAATGGACTCGGTGGTCTACTAATCCTTTTTACTTTTAACCATGTGTTAAATTTTAAAGAGATCGGTTAAATCACATAATGAGAAGTCTAATTTAGTATTGAATTCATCATTTATGAGATTCGAACTTAAGACCTCTCATTTTTAAGTGAAGAAGAATACCACCAGACTATAGTAATGAGTGGCATAAGTCGTACTTTTAAAGTATATTAAAATACAAAAATATCAAACATATTTTTTTAGATTTTTACATATTTTTGTTTAATTGTATTCGTTGTTTTCTTTTGATTTGATGGTACAAAATGAATAGAGATGTGTGAGAATTAATAATAACGCATGAAACTCATTTTTCTCTTAGTAGAAAAATAGATGTGCTTATTATAATTTGAGTCCTCAAATTTTCACGCTTAAATCAAATTCCTTATTATGAATTAGAATTTGTTTAAAAGTGTTTTTATAATAATTGAAAACGTTTTAAAAAAAAAAATATTTTTATAATTAATTCTTAGTAAAAATACAAGTTAATATTTAAAAAATACTTAAAGTTCTTTCAGAAAAAAAACATATAACTGGTGCTTCTTACACAAAGACTTCAAGTCATTTTAAAAACACTTCTAATTCTTAGTAAACATTGAACAAAAATACTGAAACGACGCGTCGTTTCCACATCCTACGAGTCTTTCCGATTACGACAGAGGCAAACCGCAAGCCATACCTCGAAAGTCGGATTTGGACGGCAAAATCCGCTCCCGAAAACTCTGGCTTTCAGGTTCCGTTACGTCTCACCTTAATTTTCTGTTTGTTTCCCGAGAAAATTTAGGAAACGTAAAACACAGAATGCGTTTCATGAAAATGGAAGCTAAACAGCCAAAATAATTGAAGGTTTCTAGTTAAAAGCTTCAATTTCCTCGGATTCAGAATCCTCGGAGTTCCCAAATAAAGAAGTTTCGCTTAGTTTTTGTAATGTTTTATGATTGAAACATTCAGAGAAGATGAAAGTGAAGAACGAGAAGCAGAGTTGGGCGGCGGTGTCGCCGTCCGAGGTTGTCTATCATTTCGGCACCAGTGGACTTTCCGTTGCGGCGGCCACCGCAGTAACTCATCCTCTAGGTAATTTATGGAACTCAAAAAGTTTACTTTTTTCACCTTTTTGCAGCTTCCAACATGTCTGTTTTGTTTGCCTCAGTAAATTTTTCACCTTTTCAGCTTTTGTTGTAGCAGAATATTAAATATTTTGTTGTTTATTTGTTTGTTTCATGGATTGTTCAAACTTTGGTATGGTTGGTTCTGCATCGATTTCTCATTGTTTCGATTTTGATAGAGATGATGGTATTAAGATTTGGCAATGCATCAGTGTAGAACCGGAGAAATTTTATAGTTTGGCGGCCACATTTACCCGTTTTGTTACTAATTCACGTGATATATAGTTATGCACGATTTCTCATTGTTCCGAGTTTGATAGAGATTATGGTATTAAGATTTTGCATCAGATGTAGAATCGGAGAAATTTTATAGTTTGGCGGCCACATTGACCCGTTTTGTTACTAATTCACGTGTTATATAGTTATGCACGATTTCTCTGTGTTCCGAGTTTGATAGAGATTATGGTATTAAGATTTGGCAATGGATCCAATTTAGAATCGGAGAAGTTTTTTAGTGTGACTACCATATTGAGCCGTGCTGTTACACGACTTGGTTAATATCTTATGGACCTAGGTACAATGTGACTAATACATCTCTATGATAGTCACGCTCAAAAACTTCTCGGCATGATGAACAGAGGCTGTAGATTGTAGGTTAAGAGAAATTTTGAGAGATGCAAAGAGTTTATTTATCTCAACTGGTGGGATGCAGATGTTCTCAAAGTTAGGCTGCAAATGCAACTTGTTGGGCAGAAAGGTCCTCTCAGTGGAATGGTATTTTTCCCACCTCTTTTCGTGGGTGCATATCTTGATCCAATTTATCAGCGTGGATCATGATAAAGGTTTGATGTGCAGGGACGGTTATTTATCCATACTTTTAAAAAAGAAGGGCCGAGATTTTTGTATCTGGGATTGACACCGGCATTGACAAGGTCTGTTCTTTATGGGGGTCTCCGTTTAGGCTTGTATGAACCTTCAAAGTATGCCTGCAATTGGGCTTTTGGATCCGCCAATCTTTTTGCTAAGATCGGGTCTGGAGGATTTGCCGGTGCAATTGCAACTGTGTTGACGAATCCATTTGAGGTTTTGAAGGTAATGCCATCATGCAGGGCCTTGTTGAACTTTTTGTTTTCTATTTCTTGAGACTTGACTTCAAGATCATTTCATTTGCTTCCTTTCATTAGGTGCGGTTACAGATGAATCCAAACTTGAGTCCAACGGGAGAACTGCATAGAATTATTACTGAAGAGGGAGTGAAAACGCTTTGGAAGGGGGTTGGCCCTGCTATGGCCAGAGCTGCTACGTTGACTGCATCACAACTAGCAACATATGACGAAACCAAGCTGGTCAAGTTCTAAGTAATTTCCATTTGTTTCTAAATCATTAATGCTTGATTGGCAATAGGAAAGTGTTCGTCTTCATTTTTCTTTAAATCTGTCTGACTTCAAATTTTGTCCCAACTTTTTTTTTGAATGCAGACACTGATTAGGTTGACATCACTCGAAGAAGGATCCCATCTTCATCTCATGTAAGACACTGTTGCCAATGTTCTTATCTATCCCTGGTCTTTCATTTTTTCAACTGAAGTAGATTAACTTGGTGACAGTACATTGATCAAAACTAACTATATTATGCACCTTGAGAAGCTCAAGCACAGTTGCAGGCTTGGTGAGTACCCTCGTAACTGCACCTGTGGACATGGTAAAAACCCGTCTCATGTTGCAACAGGAATCTAATAAGGCAGGAAACTATAAAAATGGATTTCATTGCGCATACCAGGTATAGATTACGTAGTCTTTTCATTTCCGCTACAGTTTTCTGGTGTTTTTTCTTGGTGTATTTGGATTTCTTTTCTAGAACACAATTTATAAACACATTAAATTGGAATAGGTTGTCGGCATGTGGTTAACATTTGATTTGCCTTTGGAAAGGCTTTCACGACCTTAGCGGTTGGCAGCTGCAATTGGGCATGATAAATTGGTCCTGTTTTATCTTGCGTTCGTTCGTTGTAGAGTCTATATGGTCTACACTGACTCTTGGCATCCCAGAAATTAATTCCTTGCGTATATTTCTTATTTGATATGCTATGGTGTGTTGTTTCAGGTTATGCTTACAGAAGGTCCCAGGGGCCTTTACAAAGGGTGAGTTCTCTTCAAGCCTGAATACTCATGCCTTTCGTTTGCACCAAACTTTCCGATATTATAGTCTTTGGATTTTATAGAATCAGCAGTGCGTAGTTTGAATTTGTCGTGTAACCACAGAGAAAACGTCTGTCTGATTGTTTACAATTAGTAATTAAGTGTTAAACTTTTCAGGAGCCTTGCAACTTTTGCAAGACTGGGTCCACAAACTACAATTACCTTCATACTCTGCGAGAAGTTGCGTGAGCTTGCTGGATTGAATGCAATCTAAGCCTCGGCATTGGCAGTCTGCAATCGCCCCCGCTTCTGGCTGCGATGAGAATTTCTTCGAATCAGCAGGTAACGCACCCCACATTCCTGAAAACAACCATTTAGGGGAAGGGAAGTACTTGTACTTGCTTTACATATTGGTTCTGTTTAGGCGATTTTACAGAACAATGGCATTGGCTGGTTCTGGTCCCGTGTACCGTTGTCATCCCACATTTTTTCGCTCGAACCCATTCGTGTCGTTTTCTATCTACTGTTTGAAGTATTTCCAAAAATTGCTTGAGTTAGAATTTAGAAGCCTATTAAGCAACAATATTTGTCTGTGTATGGTTAGCAGGGCCCTTGATTAGAGATTTAGGTACAACTAACTTGTATGTTGACTTTAGGGAGAGTCTCTGGACCAATCCCTTGTGCCGACAATTGGGGAGAACCTTGCTTTGATAAGATGTCACGGTGACAGTATTACACACTCATCGTGCACTATCATGTGATTTGATTTTTTCTACATAACAATGTTGACTTTAGGGAGAGTTTCTGGACCAATCCCTCGTGTGCTGACAATTGGGGAGAACCTTGCTTTGATAAGATGTCACGGTGACAGTATTACACACTCATCGTGCACTATCATGTGGTTTGATTTTTTCTACATAACGTTGTTGACTTTTGATACCGATATTTATCCTTATTAGGTCAAAGCAGTGTTTAAAATATCCACAAAATTGTCATATTTCTGTTGAAATATCTTAAAAACCATGGATTATATGGAAACAGGGGAGGGGGGGTTGAAATGGAAACTTCACCTATTATCGGTGATATTGATGATAAAATTTGTCGGAGCTCATTGCTGGTTTCGAACTTTTGAATGTTTTTTGAGAATTTTTTCTCTTGTTTCGATTAATTCTGAATGAATTGATGTGCACACCGCATTACAAATTTTCATAATGTTCATCAAAGACAACAGATATCAATGGCTCTATAATTTACCTATTAATATTTACACTTACATTTATATTTTTAAAACTGGGTCAAAGACGTCAAAGTCTTATGGCCGATCAAATGATTCCAAAAAAGAAGGCTCAAGTCACCCGTCGGCCCACTTTTAGCAAATCTTGAACCGGGAAGAGATTCCAACGTGGCATTGCGTCCTACTCACATGTGAGCTGGTTCTTGGTGGCGTCCAATTAATAGGAAGAAAATCCTCTCTAGATTTATTTTGTGGGGATTTTAGGGATCCTCACATCCTAACCGTTCGTTATATATCGTGTGGTTAGTTTTTATCAGATACTATTTATATTTAATTTTAAATAAAAATCGTTAAATAATTTATGATCGTACGATGCACGATAAATGATTAAGATGTGAGGATCCTAGGATCTCTACAATTTGAATCCGAAGGAATCCAAATCCCAATTAATATTCTTCCTAATCATCAGCCCAAGTGGACTTTTAAATTGCATTTTTTATTTCTTTGGTCAACAAATTAGTTTCTTTGCTTTAAAGGAAATGAAATTGGATTCTATCCAGATTCAGTTTGTGGGGATCCGTAGTCATTCAGCGTGTATCATGCGATCAAAAATTATATGATTTTTTTTATTTAAAATTGAACACAAATAGTATCTGACGAAAATTAATCGTATTATGTATGATGAACGGTGAGAATGTGGAGATCCCCACAAAATGGATCCATTGAGGATCCTCTTCCAAAGGAAACTACCCTTATTGTCCCAAAGAAAAAAAGAAAGTAAATTAAAAGTAAAATTATACGAAACGACTTGGGCAAGATAGCAAATTTTATATAGATTTACGGTCACCGTAGCATCGCAATATAACAAATAGTTTGTAATTTTCACATGTAGAGTTGAACAACTTATATAAAATAATTTCAGTGTTACGTAGTGTTTCGGTTCAATAATATATTGTGACGGCGATGTGGTGTACTTTTTTAACACGTGATAAGTATTTATTAGACGACGAAGCCGCTAGAACCAGATATTGGCATGAGAAAATTCTCCAATAGATTTTTAGTCGAATAGGTGTTTGCAACATGTTTAAAAAATACACGATTCGTCTAATAGACACTTACCACATGTTGTCTTTAGTTATGTAACTGTCTCTGGTAGACACGCACAAAGAGAACCATTGCATTTGCATCCCAAACGCTTACCCGCAAAATTTCTTTGCACAGTGAAAACCAAAACAATGCATGCCTAATTTTAACTGAGAAATGAATTCTCTTCAGATCCTTTCCTCCTATTTCATAAAATCAAGGAATTCGTGCTATTGAAATTTGATTCAACGGTTGAAGTTATTATAACTTTTAAATTGATTATTTGTTTGTATCTGTTGAATCAAATTTTAATGGTAAAAAATAATTTCCTGATTAAGTGAACTAGGAGAAAGAGATCCGGAAATGATCTTTGCTTTTAACTGGAAGTCAGAAATTTTGTCTGCGTTAACGTAGGCAGTGCAAGCACTGCAACTTGCACCGTTAAAATAGTGACGTGGCACTGTAACTGTTGGACAACCTTGTTGGAGCCTTGGAAGAGAAGCAGCTTTGGCGGGACAGTCTGGCGTGCTTATACTTTTGCCGCGGTTTCCGAGCTAAATTACACTCCTACCATTTATCCTTTTGTCCAAACTACCCTCCCTACTTTCCTTTCTTTAGTAACCATCCTACCCCTTGCCTTGCAAAATTCTCACCAGCTTTTACTTTCAAAACACGGCAATGTCCGAATTCCTTGTGAAAACGACATTGATCTCATTTAGTCAACGACTCAAAACGCAGCTAACCCAAATTTTTCGTGAAAATGATTGTAATAAAAAAAAAGGGTTTGTATTGATACATCAAACGTCAATATATTCTTCACAATAATCACACGTGAATAGTCTATAACTTTTGGAATGAAATAATAAATTAAATATGACTATAAGTGACATATTTTTACAAAAATTTCAATTGAAGTAGCAAATTGATACATTTCAACAAAGCATATGATTCAGGTGACATGAGCCGACTTATAGTAAATTATTCTATTAAGTTGCCCGTATATCATTTATGACATAGGTAGGAAGTTTTATGTGATGAAGAAATGCAAAATCTCATCTTTTTAAAATGTTAATCATACAAACAGCGATCTGTTCGTTAAATATTAATGTATCTTTGTAATTATGACTTATTATAATCATGTGTTATTTTTGAGCAATGTCATGAGCGTGTGCTTGCACACGCACACTCACACTCGCCATACCTTTCATTTTTCTGCATACAATTTTGGAAATGTCTAGAGTTGTCTCAATACAAGAAAATGTGAAACACAATAGGGCCAACACATAGATGGCCATTGCCATGTGGGATTTAAGATTCTCTTACTCTTCCGTCCATTTGCTAGAACAATGGTTGGAGAATAACTCTTTGACATGTGATTGTTTGTTCAATTTAAAATAAAAAGGTCAAAAATTGTTTTCGTATTAGCTGTTTGGAACCTAAGAATTAAGTAATCAGGACCACTCAAATTGAACATAAAGATCCCTATTAACCAATTATGCTAGCCTGCCTAACACATTCTAGGAGCTCCAATTTCTCTTTCACACAAACTAAGGCTTCATATTTTTTGTCCTTAAATTCCAAACAGTAAGGTTCGTAGAGCATCCAAAATTGAAATAGAAACAAGGTGGGAAACTTTTTTTTATTTTTTTATTTTATTACAATAGTCAAGTTTATACACAAATATAAAGCAAGCATATTTAAATTTGTCTTCTGTCCTTTTCAGAATTTTTTTTTCTTTAGAATATAATTAGCATATTAGGACAATACTTCTATCTTTGAATAAAGTGTCCATATGTTCTTAGGAAAAGTAAAATATATACAAAATGGGTGTGAAGACGAAGTCTTTTTCACTATTACATGTTATAGGACATTTTAAGTGGTCAAATTATTATTCTTTTTTTTTGCTTTGCATGGTTTGTGGGCGCATTGAGAGTGTTTCATTCTTTTTGCTTGAGTGCTTTTAATAATTTTCAACATGCGTATGGTCTCAATCATCCTTTATCATCTATGTGATCGGAAAATCTTTGTTTAAGGTATATCGACAAATCTTTGTAGTCGAAAAACAACTTGTATGAAACTGTCAAATAAATATAATATTATTTGAGTATTCTTAAGTGATAACATCATGTAGCAATATTTCGAGCACAGTGAAAAATCTTAAACTCTTTGTAGAAGAAAATTTGTCGTAGGACAACTTGATCATAATTGTTATATTATTTTTTAAGAGAAATATTTCGGTAGAACAACAACCTCATGATGTGGCTAAGCTTGAAAAGGGTAGAAGGGTAAGTTCACTCAAACTCATTTCAACTGGTCTAAAGTGGCAGTCCTGTAAATAAACCTGAAATGCGCGGGTAAAGCCCCAACTTCTCCCTTCGACGACTCCGCGCAGGAAAAATAAAATATAAATAAATAAAAAATCCTTTTCACACATGAAGAGGAAATCTAGAGAGAGAAAATATTAGAGAGAGAGAGAGAGAGAGAAACAAAACGAAGAAACCGGAGAAGTTAGAGAGAGAAAGTGGAAGACAGAGAGAGAGAAGGCAGGCATTAATGGCGGAAGGAGGGAAGAAGGAGAGGAACTCGGACGGCGAGGACAGCGTGAAGCTGTTCGTCGGCCAAGTGCCGAAGCACATGACGGAGGCTCAGCTCCTCGCAATGTTCAAAGACTTCGCTCTCGTCGACGAAGTCAACATCATCAAGGACAAGGCCACGCGCGCTTCCAGAGGTTTCAAATCTCTCTCTCTCTCCCCTCCTCTTTCTCTCTCTACATTCTCTGTTCCGCTTAGCAATCTGGTTTGAGTTGAAACATGTGTGTATCTTGATTTGGTTAGTGTGTGTGATTTTCCGCAATTTGGAGGATTTGTGGCGTTTAGTAGCTGACTTGGTATTTGAAACCCTAATTTCGTGCTCGGATTTGTACTTGCGTGTGTGTGTTTGCAGGGTGTTGCTTTGTGATATGCCCGTCGAGGGAGGAGGCGGATAAAGCGGTCGATGCGTGTCATAACAAGACGACTTTGCCCGGGGTTAGTGCAATTTGCAGCTCTTTCCACTGTACTTAAGTGTGCTTCTTTTGTTGTTTTAGTTTGTAGGCTCGTAGCTTTGAATTTCGGAGAATGTTATTCAAATCTAAGCTGGTAAAGTATGAATAGATGATTTCGTAAGTCATTCGAAAGTTTATACAATTAATAGTAGGAAGAGTAGCTGCGTAGTGTCTGACTATTTGTCGATCGCAGATCACAGCAATTTGAACTTTTCACAGTAACTAAACTGTATCCACTTAATTTGAGAATGTTGACACTTGTGATCAAAGGGTTCTGCAATTAATATACCGTAGGAAAAAGGGAAATGAATAGCCTCATGGGAACGTTCCTTTGTTTTTATTCCTAGTTAAATTGCAATAGGCTCCTTTGGCATTTGCAGAGGGCTAGCAAATTTACTTCAGGTGAGATACAGACATGATGTTAATCCCAAGAGGGTGTTGTAAATCGATTTGATGAAATGGGTGTTGTAATTTGCATATGGTAATGCGGATTAGCCTAACGACTGCTGAAAGTAGAGTATCAGAGCATGACCATGCATGAGATATTGGCTACAGTGCCCACAAAAAAAAAAAAAAGGTTTAGGGTTAGATTATGAACTGATTTAATTGGCTCTGCCCCATGAAAGTTTTAAGGTGCAACCGGTGCCCTGAAAGAAAAAAGATACAATTTTGACAAACTTCGATATGGTTATGATGTCAATTTACAAAATAGTTAAATGAAGAAGGCTGCATGCTTGTTCCAGAAAATATGAGTATCAGTGACTGGGGTTACATCATGTGAGTAAAGTATTGAATTTGTCCGACATTGCAGGCAATCTTCTTTTGGTACAGTATATCCACTTGAATCCATGATTGGCAGATTGATATTTGGACAATTTTATATAAAATGTGTGCTTATGCAACTTGGCATTTTCCTGGCATAGGTCTTAGAGCGACTGGGGGAGCCTATGTAGGCCTTGCTGGACCTTCAAGTGGTTTCCCAGGCAAGATTCTCAGTTGGACTCTTGCCTATGCCTGCTAATGCGACTTTACACAAATGTATTACTTGATAAAAAAACATATAGTCAACTAAAAATTTGTTGTCTGTCCACTTTTTCCTAGGCTGGTGCTAACTTTTTGCAGTTTGTGCTTTTAGTTCCTCTTGTTGTGTTTGTTATTCTCAGCCTGATTCGAAGCTACCCTGTTCTTTCTGTCCGATCCAGGCATCTAGTCCTTTGCAAGTGAAGTATGCTGATGGCGAGTTGGAAAGACTAGGTATAATACATTTTCATGATTTAATTACTGATTTGTCTTGTTCCTAGGAAGTTTTGTTGAACCAATGCTTATTGTGTATTTTTTTTGTTCATCCCATTTATTTATTGATTATTTTACGAACCCTAATTAATAATCTTTGCCTTCCCCTGTAATCCAGAACACAAGCTCTTTATTGGTATGCTTCCAAAGAATGTTTCCGAAGTTGAAGTTTCTGATCTTTTCTCTCAATATGGGACAGTAAAGGACCTACAAATATTAAGAGGTTCTCAGCAAACGAGCAAAGGTATGTTTTTTCCCTCAGGGTTGGTTTATTCCTAGGCAAACACTAAAATATACTGATTGTCAACTAATAAATGAATTTTCCATGCCCTTTTCTTTTGGCAGGCTGTGCATTCTTAAAGTATGAGACAAAACACCAAGCTCTCGCTGCCCTCGAAGCCATCAATGGAAAGTATAAAATGGAGGTTTGTGTCTAATGCATATTTTGGTGGCTGGAAATGTATATTGAAAACTGTTAATATGCACGTAGTATTGGATGTTCTTATTCTATTACATTGGCAGAAACATTTTATTTTTTCTGATTGAAGGGGACCATAATGATGGATGATAAGTCAGCCATCAAAGACTTTGTCTAATTATCCTTGCGTATCAAATTAATAAAAAGGCTTGTATGCTTACTCATTGACTCATTGATTTGAATTTGTTCTTGACATTTGCTTATAGATAACAACAACTTGGTATTAGTATGGATCTATTGATACAACTTGGTAGTAGTATGGATCTATTGATACAAGGCTCTAACCCGCTCTTATGGCTCGTGTATCAGGGTTCAAGTGTTCCTTTAGTTGTCAAATGGGCAGACACAGAAAAGGAAAGGCTAGCTCGGCGAGCTCAGAAAGCTCATTCCCAGGCTGCTAACGAGCCAAATGGTGATTCACATCCTTCATTATTTGGAGCCTTGCCCATGGGTTATGTTCCCTCGTATAATGGTTACAGTTATCAGGTCAGTTTTTTTCCACAATTATGTCTCTGTAAGCTACTCTTTTCTTTGTTTCGTTTTTCATGGTGAGGAAACCATTAGCACTTTTGTAGTTGGGCTTTGGCATCTGAGTATAATGACCTACCCTATATATGAATTCCTGACTTTATATCCATGTAGGGTCTTATGTAGTAATGGAGTAATGTCATATTTCATTTCCTCTGTAGGCTCCTGGGACTTATGGACTCATGCCATACCGCCTACCTGGACTGCAGAATCAACAAGGCTTCCAAAATATGATGCCCCCCATAAACCAAGGAAATGCTTTGCATAGAATCACACCCCGCAATGTTGCCCCTAGAAATTTTCCTATGCCTCCTACGAGTTATGTGGGCTCTGCTTATCATGCGGTTCCAGGTCTTCGGCATCCGATGGTGTATCCTGGAGGAATAATGAGCCACCAGCCATTGAGTTCACCTGGTTCAGTGTCACCTACAGTTGTGAACATTAACCCAGCATCGCCTGGCACTAGTAAAAGCCCTGGGGGTCAGGTTGAAGGTTGTTATCTACACGTATATTTATTTTTTCAAATTAAAAATAAAGTTCTTGGTTGTGGTATTTTGTCAGTTACTCTTATCTTCTTTGATTAGGTCCAGCTGGTGCTAATTTGTTTATCTACCACATACCTCAAGAATTTGGAGATCACGAGCTTGCCAATGCTTTTCAACCATTTGGTAGGGTTTTGAGTGCCAAGGTTTTTGTTGATAAAGCAACCGGCATCAGCAAATGTTTCGGTGAGAATATTCTCAACTTACTTTTGATTGCAATGCAAATTATGTGGAAATATTTACCTCTAATCAGTCTCTGGTTTGCAGGATTTGTAAGTTACGATTTACCAGAGTCTGCTGAATCTGCTATAAGTATGATGAATGGATACCAATTAGGGGGTAAGAAATTGAAGGTCCAGCTTAAGAGAGACAACAAACAGAGCAAACCATATTGATTTGAAGGTGAGTTACACAAGGATTCGAGTCCTCTAGTCTTATGCAAACCGGATGTATGGGAGTCACGTCATCAACATCGTAGGGTGGATTTAGCTGATCTGCAATTATAGGGCTATTCCATCCTTCTTGTAACTTCCTCAAGGGATTGAAAGCCTTCAAACTTGTAATTCATGGTGCATACTGTGCCAATACAATCTGTAATTTGGGTATCATGAAAGTTCATTTAGTCAGTAACTATCAATTTATTCATTCTTCTCTCATGAACATCTGGATGTATACTTGATCCCTAATTCTTTCATTTTCACAGTTCAAAGTCATTTTCATATTTTCTTTTGTTTCTTATCTCATTTGCTGTATCCCGGTGACTTGTTTTAATGTGGCATACCTTGAAGTAAGTAGGTAATCAACAAGCAGTCTTCTATTTGAAAAGGTATGTTGTATACGCGTGCCAGAGTTACATTTTAGGTACAGTGGTTGTCTCTGCTATTTCTTAGTTATCATTTGAATGTTGTGCATTTAATTTATAAGCCATTGTGGTTCTTCTTTGGGTGTTCATTTTTTCTATATTCGCTATTTAGCATTTAAGTCGTAGATAGGAGGAGCACTTGCTACTAATATATTTTTTTTCCCCATGAAGGTTGGAAGTTAAATATTGATTTTTTTAGCGTACCAATTAATAGATACCTGTCTTCCAATATGTTATATATTTCATGGACTTTACTGCTGCAACGGTTGCGCTTTACATATATCATGGACTTTGCTGCTGCAACGGTTGTGATTTAAGATGTTCTTATCCAAGTTGTATCTGGCACTATGTTATGAAATTTTGGAGATTTGGCTGGCTCATTTTCTTGCAGATGTACGTTGGACTGAAGTTTGAGCATGTTTTATGTCTTCTTAGCTACATTCACGAGTACTAAACTGCCTAAATATTGCTGTTGTTGTAGGCTAAATGTAGACACTGCATCTGTAGTCTCAGTTTTTTCTCCTTTGCTATTAACTATCAAATTACCAGGAGATTGAGGCGTTTTCAGTAGCAGATGAAAGAATTCACAGCACCCGTATTCCAGTCCAGATTGTCGCTGATGAAGGTATGCCATAACCTTGGACACATCAATAATTCCTTTTGAAATTTTGAATGACTTGAGTATTATTATTGTTTCTAAGCAGAACTCTCTAACTTGTGTTATGGACATCATCTCTCTCTCTCTCTCTCCCTCTCTCTCGTTTACGCCTGTTGTACCCTTTCGTGCAGAGTCTGCTGAATGTATATGTTCCTTGATCATCGTTGTTAGGAGTTTGGTGCTTTTATATAGATTCAAAGATTGACTTGTCGCATACGGTGGGTTGACCTTTGTCAAAATAACTTGGAACGAAAAATAAGAAACGCAGAAACTTAGATCACTTCGATTGAATAATGAGTAGGGTTCAGGATGAACGAAGTGGAAAAGGTTGCCTAGGTTGAAGGTGCATGTCAAGGAAGCTGGATTGAGATCATTTGTTTGTCGGGAATGTAACTATCTTGTTGATGTTGTTAAAATGCATATGTTTGTCTATCATTATAACATTGATGTGGACCACTGTATCTCTACTGCTGCACTAGCTAGCTTTCTGCCCCCTTCTGTTGGATCTCCTTTTGAAATTTCGAAATGACATTTATGGAGTTCTATTGAATTGTGAATAGATGGTTTTACCGTGGAGTTCTGGTTGTCGGCCAGACTGCGGTAGGACCAATTTCTGAATGTTCTTTTATCGGTACTTTGATATCTGCAGCTAGCAAAGTTTCGTGGTGCTTCAGCTCGATGCCGCATCCCACCACCATTTTATGCTTTTTGATTGATGCATCTCTGAGGCCCAACGATGAATTCTCATATTTCCGTCGTCTCGTCCCAACGTTTTACTTTCCAGTCCTCCTGTAAGCACAAGTCAATTTACGTAGGTAAAAGAATAGTGGCTTTTTGTTTCGTTTTGTTGCAATCGACTTCAGTTTTTTTACGATATGGAACTCCAATTCTGCATCTCTAAGCTTCACTGCACAGAAATGGTAGATAGATTGTATCTCTCTACATTTTATGGTAATAGCAAAAAGTGTTCTTGTGAGTTGTAAAGGTTATATTATATATGCTCAATTTAACTAAAAAAAATCTCATAATTTGTTGTGAAAGAGTACGTTATAGTTGTTGTCAAGGCCCACTTTGGTGGTGGGGAAAAAGTTGTAATTGTAACGGATTTTATACTCTTCTTTTTTATGTCTCTCTCACTACGCGACGACTGATCTTCCATCAGCAGCCATCGGGTGGAATTCATAATGTTTATTTTTACGTGACGACTGATCTTCTTTCACCAACAAAATGTATATTGTATTTGCATGAGTGGATAGGGAGTTAGGTTTCCACCTATGCGTTCGGGTTTAAAACTCTTTCTCTCTCAAATAATAAAACAGTTTCCCTCCCTTAATAATAAATTTAAAAAAAAAAAAATGTGTTGTGTATTTTACGGCTTTGAAACATTTAAGTAAATATACAATATGAGCGATTCAAAAGTGACTCGATGTGATACACGGAGGGACTCAAACGACAATCTTGCAATCGAATACTAGCCTTATATACACAACGTTATATTGACGTATTGATACCAAATACTAAGATTATATCCACCAAATATTGATTACATATCAACGAACATCTTGGCAAGTTGTTTCTTTCTATTTTTCGTATCAAATTCCAAGCTCTCTCGATCACTCTCTTCGTGCCCCGTCCCCATTCTCTCTCATTGTCTCAATCTCCTTGCTCATGATTTCCCCACATCAGTACAATTCTCAAACTCAAAAGCTTGATGTCGAATTCTGGGCAATATTCTCTCCTTTTTCTGATCCTTTGTCAAGTCATTACAACTTTACTTGCACCATCTTAGATACCATTTTTTTTTCTTCTGTTTCTCTAACACAAGGAGAGAAACAAACAAAAGTTTTTTTTTTCTTATAGACAACAAATGGAATTTGGATCCTCTCCAGACTTTAGCATCCGAAGTCTAAGATTAGGAAATCCGAGCCCTTGATTTGTGTTAGGTAGGCTAACGAAATGAGTTAATTCAATTTCAGTGGTCTGGATTGCTTGGTCCTTGGACTCAGAACTGTGAGATACGGAATGGATTTCTGTCCCAAATATTATACTTATTAATAAGTTCTTAATAATACAAAGACACTTAAGAGAAGAATAATACAAAGACACTTTTTTCTATTTTTCTAGAACCGAGTATACTTTGAGTTGTGGATGGCCTTTTAATACTGAGGTATTTGTCGATTGGCATCTCTATACAAATTCAGGAGACAAATCGATAAATATACCTTTAATATTTGTGTTCATATGGTGTTGCACATGGTGTACTGTATTTATATGAACTTATGTTCTTAACAACATTTGACTTTTGATGAGAAGCAACTTTCAGGAAAAAGCTTTTGATGAGAGCATGAACTTATTGACTTATTAAATGAAATAATATATGGACGACTTCCTACGCCGAGAATTCTGGTGGTAGATTTACCAAAAATGGATCACAATATTACTTTACCTTTCTGAAAATCGAGTAGTAGATATATAGAGCGGAGAATTACAACGAGAAGGACATACGTATGTGTGTATTTAAATTTAGGGTTTGTTTGAAATTGCTTTTAAAATAATCGAAAACACTTTTGATGAAAATGTTTTTAGCAAGGTTCTAAAAAATGTTAGGCGTTAGTCGGGTGGCGAACTAGCGCCTAGCGTTTAGACGGCTAGGCGGGCGTCTAGACGGCTAGGCGGGCGTCTAGACGGATTTAGATAAATTTCTTATATATTTTATGAATTAATTAAGTTTATTATATCATAATTATTGACTAATATGTTATTTCTTGGGAAGTGTTATTGGCACTTCAAAAATCTCATTCTACACTTCTCACAAGTGTATTTTTCTTTCCAAATATAGAAAGATTGGAGTGTAGAATGAGATTCTTGAAGTGCTAATAACAATTCCCTATTTCTTATAGAAAACCATACATATGTGAATGTTTTTTTGTACATATATGATATACTTGCCTAGGAAAAAAATAAAATATTATCTAAATAATTTATAATTTATTTAAGATTTATATATGTGTGACACACACACACACCAAACTTTTAAAAATATAAAAAGCCCACATAGTGGGTGGTTTTCATTACTAAAACCATCAAACCGTCCACCTCACCTCTGCTCTTTCACATCATCCGTCCACCTTGGGTGAAACCATGTTAGAGTCCAAAAAAGAGTTTTTTTATTTATTAATTTTATTTAACATTATTTAAACTTGAAAGACTCAATTAATGTACCTAAATATTAGTACTGAAATGTGTGTACCGAAATGTATTATATTGAAATTGTAACATCCCACATTGACCATCGGAGAGGGGGTGATGTGCCTTATATGTACATGTCCACCTCCATATAGCACGAGGCATTTTGGGAACTCACTGGCTTCGGATTCCATCGGAACTCCGAAGTTAAGTGAATTCGAGCAAGAGCAATCCTAGGATGGATGTTCCCCTGGGAAGTTCTCGTGTGAATTCTCAGAAACAAAACCGTGAGGGCGTGGTCGGGGCCCAAAGCGGACAATATCCTGCTACGGTGAAGTTGAGCTGGGCTGGGATGTGACAGAACTAATGTATTTAAATGTTAGTACCGAAATATATGCACATAAATGTATTATATTAAATTAATGTACCTAAAAGTGTATACCAAAATGTATTATATTGAATTAATGTACCTAAATGTTTGTATATAAATATATGTACCGAAATGTGTGTACCTAAATCTATGCATCATAATGTATTATAATAAATTTAATGTACCTAAATGAAGAAGACAAAGTACATCGAAATATATTGTATGACAAAAATTAGTTTATCTAAATGTTTACAATAAATGAAATGAAAATGAAATAAAATTAATACATTAAAAATTAGGAAGAAAAAGAGAAATAAATAAAAAATAAAAATATAATTAATAAATGAGGTTATTAATGTATCAATGGACTAAAATTAGATTTTGATCTTACTCATGATTTTAATCTAAAAGTTATCTTTGTCAATGATTAAAATGAAGTTTTCTATAAAAATAAATAAGAAGAAATATCTTATTCTTTCAGAGGAATTCTCCAACTTTGGCCGACAATATCAGTCCATCCATTATGCATGGAAGCAAATCGCCCCACGGATTACCATATTCTATTCGATTTTTTACAAATGCACCCCTTGTTTTTTGTTTTCTGTTGACTTTAATCCCTTCGTATACGAGATAGGGTTGATCATA